TGTTTTATAATTTGAACTTCTTTTTTTTTTTTTTTTTTTTGCCATCTATTTATCTTCAAATAATTGATGAAATGATTCAACATGGAAGTATATGGTATTTGCCTGCTCCGATTCACGTGTCTGCCCGTCACACGTCCTGAATTTGCACCCGGGAGAGGCATTCATGGTCCGAAACATTGCTAACATGGTCCCTGCCTATGATAAGGTTAATTATTATTTTTATTTTTCGTATTTCTGAAGAGAAAAATGGGATTTGAATATTATTTATGTTGCAACAGGTTAGATACTCTGGAGTTGGGTCTGCCATCGAGTATGCTGTTCTTCACCTAAAGGTTGATACAAAAGTTCATTTCAATTTTTGTACTTTCTAGGATAATTTTTGTTTATTTGAAATTCTAAATTAACCTGGGATTCTCAAAATACTCTTTGTCAGGTTAAGGAAATCATAGTCATTGGACACAGTGCATGTGGAGGAATCAAGGGGCTCATGTCTCTCTCTGATGATGGATCCACCTCCACGTAAGCCGCTACTTCTTTACATATTCCAGTTTCAAATTCGGAAAGTGGATTTGTCACTTCTTTCTCTCGTTCAAAATTGTGTGATTCTACTTGAGTTTGTGCGCAGTGACTTCATCGAGGACTGGGTGAAGATCTGTTTACCTGCAAAGGCCAAGGTGAAAGCCGAGCTTGGGAATGCACCTTTCGCGGATCAGTGTGGACTATGTGAGAAGGTAAACACTTTGATATTCAGATCTGTATGCTCGTTTTTCTTATTTACTCGATGTGAGATTCATGGTTAACGTGCTTTTATTATGTAAAAATGCAACAGGAAGCAGTGAATGTATCACTTGGGAACCTGCTGAGTTATCCATTTGTTAGAGAAGGATTGGTGAAGAAAACTTTGGCGCTAAAGGGAGGATATTATGATTTTGTAAAAGGAAGCTTTGAACTGTGGAGCCTGGAATTTGGTCTTTCTAGATCAGTCTCTGTATGAACAAATTAATCTCTGTTCCCTATGAAGTTTTTAATGTCACAAAAATGTATTTTAACGATATGTGTAATGGAGAACAATTGTGTCATCCTTAATTTCTTGTAATAAATTCAGAAATTGTATTTTCTGATAATTAATAAATAAAAACAGCATCCCAGTTTTATTTATTGTAATTTTTTTGGTTTTTTTAGGTAAAAGATGTGGCCACAATACTGCATTGGAAGCTCTACTAACATACTGCAAACTCTCATGGAGCTTTCTTCTATTATCATCTGATAACAATCCATTTACTTGCTTGTTATTGTGCTCGAGTATCAATAAATTTCTCACTTCTATAATTAAATTTTTTTTTTTTGTTGATAGATGACATAACTTAAAGTCTTGAATTATTTTATGGGTTGTTTGTTACGACTAAGGGTACAATATAATTACGCTGAACATAACATGCTCAATCAAAATATAGTCGATGTCGAATGCCAGCCAGATCCCAAAAAAAAAAAAAAAAAAAAGGGAGTCGTGATAGTTCATCCTATCATCTTGGTTCTAATTATTGCCACTTCGAAATCCAACAGATTTCTGAAGTAGTGCACATTACATGACCAGAAATGTGTGGATTGAACATCAGAAGAGTGACATAAGATCAAACAACCTATGTGCAAACACAAGTTAAAAGATTATCGCTTTAAAACTTTTAGACCAGGCAGAAGTACAAATAAGTGGAGCTTCACTAGAAGAGCATGCTCTGTTGTGGATTCTCTAAATAAGGTAGCTCTACAGAACACTGCACACTGGCAATTGCTTTACGATACAACAGCACGGTATGTGGACTATTTACAGTTCTCAATATTGAGAAGCAAAGAGTACACCTTAATGATAGGCATCTTCCTTTTGAATTCACAGTAAAAATTACAACATCAGCAACACTATGACTCATCGGGCTTTGGTTCGAGGAATACTGGGATTTTTTCAAGGTGATCACCTCTTAGTACTTCCACAGTTATCTGCGCAACAAGATCAAATGATGACTCTATTATGAATTTTTTTCCATGTAAATTGAACCAAAAGAAATAAACTGGTCCAGATGTTTACTTGAATTAAACAAAAGTTATCCCCAATCCACAAGAAGTAAATAAATTTTTTATTTTTTATTTTTTAATCGACTTTTTCATAAAATGGTTTGCAAGTGGGCGATTGAATCGTGTTACTCGAAGAATTAAAAATATGCAAGCTAATGTAGGATGATAATAATAAACATTCAGGATCATGTCTAAACTTTGACACTGACAACTGCAGTTAGGAAGTTGAAGAAATTGAATAAAGCCACTTGTACAATATTTATGCACAACTTGGTTGACAACAAGTGTGTTGAAAAAATTCTAGCCATTGATTTTAAAAACAGTTTTTCAAATAAATGGATGTGATATTTTGCCAACTCATGGATTATAAACCAAGTTGTAAAATAAATTGTACAAGAAGCATGATTCAAAGAAATTAGCCTTACCTTATCACCCACTTTGCATTGGTCCAGAATTCTGTACAGGTCACTGCCATTAGAGACCTTCTTTCCATTGATAGATGTAATTACGTCGCCCAAAATAAGTCTGCCATAGGCATCACGTTTAGTAGATTGAAGACCCTGCAGGACCAAGATTACACCAACTAGTATCAGCACTCAACAATTTTGTCTGATAAACTTCAAAATTCCAAACCTTTTAAAGTAGAATGAAACTTCCACACCATAACATCACATGAAACCAAGGGAAAAGAAGAATATATCAATAAACGTACTGCTTTGCCAGCCGGCCCATTTGGAGGAGCATCCAATACAAGAACGCCACTAACTCCGAGTTGCTCCACAGACTGATCAGGTGCAAACTTTATCCCCAAAATTGGTCTGGTGACTTTCCCAAACCTCACCAACTGATCAACAATGCCACCTACCTGGGGGTATGAAAGATACATCAAAACAATTTTCTTCCTTTACAAAAACTATATATCCCACTCGTCATTACATCATCTATGAAAAGGCTTGAAAAAGGGCCAGCTAAATAGAATTTATACCATACATTACTGAAGTCCCAAGGACAGAATATTAAGTAATTACTTACGGTGTCAACAGGAATCGAAAATCCAACACCAGACGATGCACCAGATGGAGAGTATATGGCTGTATTTATCCCAATAAGGTTTCCTGAACTGTCAAGAAGTGGCCCTCCACTATTGCCCGGATTAATTGCAGCATCAGTCTGGATGACATCCTGGATCGGACGTCCTGTAGCGGCAGAACTGATTTCCCTTCGGAGTCCACTACAAAAAAATGGAACTTATGATAAACCATGAAGATACCACCAAAGTAAAAGAACATTAAAAAATACTGGCTTATTTGCTGGTCCTTGATTATCCTTACGAAGTGAATAATATGTCAGATCTAATAATAGACGGAATCTACCAAATATATATACTTGCTTTTTGCCTCTATTCGATAACTGTTGGTCAGTTCATGAACTATTATATAAATCTTAATAATAATCAAATTAAACATAACAACAAAAAAGAAAACAAAATCAAGCAAGAATTTATCCCCATGAACAATATCAAGGGCCCTGTCTTTACATATTTAACCTGTTATGATCTCCTTTACAGGCACTGGTTTCCATGACACTACGTTGAAGACTCTCTCCATTAGGGTTTGGCTGTTCTGGTTTGAATTAGTTTTTAGAAAATACATTTTTTCAGTTTGTTGTTAAAAACTTACAGATTCCATGTAATGTAATGATTAAAATCAATTGTAACTTCGACTTGAAATTTTAAATTAATTGATAAAACCAAACCGAAGCTTAATTGACTTTGCACTACTTCTAGGGGGTTAGAAGTGAAGAAGTTATGATGTAGATTGAATCTACAAACACACGACAACAATAACCAAACGGATTGAATTCAGAAACAAAATTTTATTATTTCGTCAACAACTAAGAAAACCCTAGAAGGCGTCTTGCAGCGTTTTAAATATGAAAGAAAAGATAACCTACTGTGCCAGCAGTCCCAAAATGGGCTGGGCTATAAAATGGAAATAACAAATGCTGAAAATAAATAACACAAAAACTTAAAATGCTGTTTTGACACACTAAACGACTTCAAATGCCCAAAAACCCTCGTACATCACAGCAAAGCTGTGAGTTCAATCCGAAACGCTCGCTACCTTTCCGAAATGGGGTTAGGGCCCAAACCGGACACCAAACACAAAAGTTACATTAATTTCTTTGAAAGCCGACCATCCAACCGTTCTATGTATGCCAATGCCTGTTCCTCCACATAAACCTCATCATTCTCCCCGGAATCAATGGGATTCGCCCTCGAATCAGAACCGGTAGCACTATCTCCCACGTTGTCTCCATGGTATGGCAAAAGATGCTTTACTTTAAACACGTCAGAAGTCCGTATATGGGAAGGAAGTCGAAGGCGATAGGCGTTGGAGTTGATCTTCTCCACAATTTCCACTGGACCAATGGTACGAGGTGATAACTTCGAATGCTCATGAGATGGCACTCGATCCTTAGTCAGTACCGCCCAAGCATAATCCCCAACGTCAAACTCAACAAGACGTCGATGCCGATTAGCCGCCTCTTTATACTTACGGTTGGACTCGAGCAGATTAGCTCGTGTTTCCTCGTGAACTTGTTGCAAACTACGAACAAAGTCAACAGCTGTCCCATGCAGCTGAGTCTTAGAGGGCAGAGTCAATAAATCAACAGGGCTGCGGGACAGAATACTATACATAACCTGGAACGGACTGAAACCGGTGCTTCTATTTCTAGCATGATTATACGCAAATTCTGCCTGGCTAAGCCGCTGATCCCATAAGCGTAGATTATCCCCAACCAAGCACCGCAACAAGTCACCCAAAGAACGATTAACTACCTCTATTTGCCCATCAGTTTGAGGGTGATAAGCATTACTAAAATTGAGCGACGTGTTAACTGACTTCCATAAAATCCGCCAAAAGTGACCGACGAACCTCGTGTCTCTGTCAGATACGATGGAAGTGGGCAACCCATGCAACCGATAAATCTCTCTGAAAAATAATTGAGAAACCTTGACAGCATCAGTTGTGCGCTTGCAGGGAATGAAGTGCACCATTTTAGAAAAACGATCTACCACCACAAAGATGGAATCATTATCACGTTGTGTGCGCGGTAAACCCAGGACAAAATCCATGCTAATATCAGTCCACGGAGCTGAAGGCACTGGTAAGGGTCGATAAAGACCAGCGTTTGTGGCTTTCCCCTTTGCCACGTGGCACACCCTGCATCGTGAGACAAACTTCTCCACTTCACGACGCATAGTAGGCCAGAAAAATGAAGCGCTAATCAAAGCCAAAGTACGATCTCGCCCAACATGACCTTCACCATGAAACTCCTCAATCAATTTCAGACGAAGGCTGCAATCTGGTATACACAACTGAACACCTCTAAACACATACCCATCCTCTAACAGAAAAGAGGAATGGTGTCCCTGCAGTAAACTGTGATAGATGGGGCCAAAATAAGGGTCATCAACATAAAGAGAGACAAAGGTCTCAAACCCAGTGACCGCTACCTGTAGCCGCGCTAATAACCCATGCCACCGACTGAGCGCATCTGCCACACGATTAGAAGAACCAGCCTGATGTTTAATGACAAAGTTGAACTGCTGCAAAAAGGCAACCCATGATGCATGACGGGCAGATACAGACTCCTGGCTTGACAAATGCTTGAGGGCTTCATGATCGCTGTATAAGACAAATTCTCGCTGAAACAGATAATGTCGCCAATGGCGAATGGCCTGAACAACAGCATAAAGCTCTGCGTCGTAAGTGCTATACCTCCCACGAGCCCCTGCCAACTTCTGACAGAAATAAGCTACTGTTTTCCTTCGTGACTGAAGACAGCTCCGATACCCAATTTAGAAGCATCACAATGTAATGCAAAAGGTTTTGTGAAATCAAGCAACGCAAGTATCGAGGCTGAAGTCAGACACTCCTTAATGATCAAAAATGCTTTCTCAGCCTCGGGTATCCACTGAAACTTACTCTCCTTCATGCAATCAGTAATGGGAAACATGATGGTGCTGAAGTGCTGAATAAATCGTCGATAAAACGACGCTAAACCGTGGAAACTCCGCACATCAGAAACTGACTGTGGACGCGGCCACTGCCGAATCGCATCAACCTTAGCTGCATCCACCATTACTCCACCGGCTGACACAACATACCCCAAAAACAAAACACTATCAGTATAGAGACGCACTTCTTATTGGCTGCAAAGAACTTCTCCTTGCGTAAAACAGTAAGGACTTCCCTTAGATGTACACCATAAGACTCCTCCGACCCACTGTACACCAATATGTCGTCGAAGTATACAACAACGCACTTACCAATAAACGGTCGAAGTGCTTGGTTCATCACCCGCATGAACGTGCTCGGTGCATTGGATAGTCCAAACGGCATAACTAGCCACTCAAATAATCCCTCCCGTGTCTTAAATGCTGTCTTCCACTCATTTCCAGGACGGACTCTTATCTGATGGTAATCACTTTTCAAGTCCAGTTTGGTAAACACAGTTGCGCCGGCCAACTGATCAAGCAAGTCATCTAGCCTCGGTATCGGAAAGCGATAACGAACTGTAATTTTGTTGATGGCCCTGCTATCTATACACATCCGATAACTCCCATCTTTTTTTGGCACTAGGAGTGCGGGGACTGCACACGGGTTGAGGCTCTCTCTGATGTACCCCTTCTGCACCAATTCCTCTACTTGTCTCCTCAACTCTTCATGTTCCACTGGGCTCATTCGATAATGTGGGCGATTAGGCAATGACGCGCCCGGTACCAAATCAATGTGATGTTGCATATCCCGCAAAGGCGGAAGACCCTGTGAAAGGTCATCCGGAAACACATTATGAAACTTAGACACCAAGGCGGCAGCTTTGGGGTGAAGACCCGTCCCCTCGACTGCCATAGGAACTGTCGACACTCCTGTCGCCTTAGTTCCCACTAACAACAGTACAACACCTTTTGCCAGCATCTCACGCACAAACAAAGATCGGGAAAGTAGATTACTACTGTCCCCTGTCGAAGACAGACACTGCGTATCTTTGGAGGTAGTAATACAATCTTTTTATCCGAAAAGGTGAATGTATATGCATTTCGACGCCCTTCATGGCACACATCCCTATCAAACTGCCATGGACGACCCAACAACAAATGACATGCATCCATCGACACCACATCACACCAAACACTATCACGATACACACTGCCAATAGAAAAAGATACCAACACACGGCTAGTAACACGAATTTCATTACCTCGTCTCAACCATGCTAGGCTATAGGGAGCAGGATGAGGTTTGGTGCTTAACTGCAGCTTCTGCACGGCCGTTTCAGATATCACATTTTCGCAACTGCCCGAATCAATGATGAACCTACACAACTTTCCTCCAATGGTACACGTAGACGGAAAGATATTGTTTCGCTGCAGGTCCTCAGACGACCCCTTGGGTGTAAGGCACGCCCACCGGACCACCAAAAGAGGCCCCGTGTCACCTGTATGCACAATTTCAGCCTCTTCTTCTTCATTCTCCACATGAACAGGATCGTTAACATTGACTTGTGTTGTCCCTCCAATGAACAAACTTAGGCGTGGCTGCCCATGAGATGGACAGTCCTTCCTCAAATGACCAAAACCACCACAACCAAAACACTGGCTTCCACGCCCTCGTCCACCAGGAGGAGCCCAGCCACCCGGATTAGCGGTTGGAGGAACCACTGGCCGAGTGTTCCTATCAACGCCCCGACCCCCAGATGTAAAGGATTGGGACGGACCAGATGTGGGATTTGGGACGAATTGTCGACCCCCACCTCCAGATGGACCACCAGAAATGCCTACTACAGAACGACGTTGTCGTTGATTTTCAGCCTGAAGTGCTCGCTTGTGAGCCTCAAAAATAGATACCGGCGAGAACATATTTAGGACGTTTTGCAAATTCAATCGTAGCCCACCAATATAGCGCGCTACCAACTGGTCTTCTGATTCTCCCACATCATTTCGCGCTATCAGTTGGTAAAACTCTGTGGAATAAGTATCTACAGATCGATTGCCTTGTCTCAAATTCTATAAGCGCTGATACAAAGTCCTGGAATAATTAAAGGGAAGAAACGCTGCCTTCAACTGTTTCTTCATTTTTTCCCACGACTGGATTTTCGCCTTACCCTGACGGATCCGATTTTGCTTCAGTTACTGCCACCACGCAGCAGCACGACCACGCAGACGGGTCGCCACCAAAGGTACCCTTTTATTGTCGGGCACTTCTTTGTAATCCAAGATCTCCTCTACTGCCGCCTGCCAATCGAGGAATTCATCTGCCTCAATTCCACCGTAAAATTCAGGTACATCAACCTTGAATCCGGATTCCCATCGCTGAAACGCGTCCTGCTGTTGCACACGAGGCTGTTGAACACGATCGCCACGTGCCTCTGACAAGGTCTCCTCATCCGACCTCTCCCCTGATTCAGATCCACCTCCACCATCACTCACTGGGGCACGACGTGAAAGAGCAGGAGGTGTTCCGTTCTGCACAACCTCTGCCGCCCACGTCATGAATTGATCAAATCGAATTGTCAACGCCTCAACTTGATTACGCAGATCTGCAACTTTATCACCACGACCACCACGACCACCACGTCCTCTCCCACGCACCATGCTCTGATACCAAAATAATGTAGATTGAATCTACAAACACACGATAATAATAACCAAACGGATTGAATTCAGAAACAAAGTTTTATTATTTCGTCAACAACCAAGAAAACCTTAGGAGGTGTCTTGCAGCGTCTTAAATATGAAAGAAAAGATAGCCTACTGGACTAGCAGTCCCAAAATGGGCTGGGCTACAAAATGAAAATAACAAATGCTGAAAATAAATAACACAAAAACTTAAAATGCTATTTTGACACACTAAACGACTTCAAATGCCCAAAAACCCTCGTACGTCACGGCAAAGCGGTGAGTTCAATCCGAAACGCTCGCTACCTTTCCGAAATGGGGTTATGGGCCCAAAACGGACACCAAACGCAAAAGTTATATCAATTTCTTTGAAAGCCGACCATCCAACCGTTCCATGTATGCCAATGCCTGTTCCTCCACATAAACCTCATCAAGTTATGTGGCAATTTTTTTTTTCTAAAAGGCATAGCAATTGGAATCTAGAGCTGGTGAAGATATTCTATTAACTTTTTAGATATTGTCGGATTATTCTCCATTACATCTTCAAAACTAATGAACTTCTACAGGTAGAACACTTATAATCTTCAACAACATAAATACAAAAAAGCTGAAATGATTCAAATAGTATCAAACTTATGCAGTCAAATGTAATGCATGAATACCTGATAACACCAGTTGTAAGTGTGTGGTCAAGGCCAAACTGCAAAACATACATTTAAACACAAGGATCATGTCAAACAAAGGCTTATGATGCCATATTTGATGAGAATGAAATCCATGTATTCGATATTGAAGTGGATAAATCCCGCACTATACATTAAAAGGCATCAATTTCCATTTTTTTCTATTCATGAAAGTTGTTTAACTAAAAACTCTAATTTCTGGAAAACATAACAAGTGTGGTGGTTCAAACCAAGGGGATGGTTGACTTGCATGAAGATATTTGGCAAGGAATGGAACAAACTTGAGAATGGTATGCCATCAGGCAAATGTGATAACCTGTTTTGATATAACCTTGTGATGAAACAACAATAAAATTTAAGACATCAGTATTGTTATCATTGCTAGCATTTGATAGGGCAAGAAAATTGTAAAACAGCCTAGTATTCCCATAGGCTGTAACATGTATTTGAGCCACAGTTTAATAATCGAACCTAAAATTAGGAAACGTGAAAAGAATTGATTAAGCTAAACTGGCATTTCTAAAGCCTAATTAATGATTACTCAGTTGTTAAATATAATTTCATTATGGTCAAAATATGATCCTCCATGATTAGAAGTATATGCATTTATCAAAGGAAGGCATTCGTCTCTTAAATCTCTGAATGGTTTTTTAAGTTAGTTACATGTATATGTTTTCCTATGAGAAAATGAAATATCTTAATTTTGTTGATTAAGAAAATAATATTTGTACTGCAACTAGTTAAACAATCACTGGTCTATCTGTTGGGTCCTCATGTGGATGTGTCATTCAGCAGTCAAGGGCATTGGCGGCGAAAGGTTCCCGTAAATGCATTGGTGCCCGAAAAACTAGGGACGATAGTGAATCAATGGAGAGGCTGGAAAAGGTGGCTGTGGTGGTGAAGCTGTCAGAAGAGGAGAAGGGATAAAGGCATTGTTACACAAAGATGCACGCTTTAAACCTATTTTGGGCCAGGGTAGATCAGGTCAAGTTATTGGGCAAGAACCTAGTAATTGTAAAATCAGTAATTTGGGCTTTAGCCCATTTTTGTCATCACATCCCCTAAAAGGCCATTGAACATCACAGCCCAACAGGCATTAGAAATGTGGGTTCATTGACAAAGATGGAAGGAATCAGCAAATTTGACACTAGGGAATGCCAATATCATTGTCACATACTAAGCACTGTCTAAATGGTTTTCTTCATCTATGCATGACAAACACATACTTGATAAGAAGCCTAAATTCAGAACATAGTATATGCACACTCTTGTACCAGAGAACTTACGATGCAAAAGACTTCAAACGGGGAAGTTTATTTTAACGATAAAAAAGGATTATTTCACTTACTGGATTTCCGATAGCATATACTTTTTGACCAACAAGCAAATCTGCAGATATGCCAATTGGGATAGGTCTCAACTTGTCTTTTGGTGCATCAATTCGCAGAACAGCAACATCTTTATCTTGGTCAAATCCAACAACTTTTGCATCATAAGTGCTCTGGTCAGCAAGTGTAACCCTAAACATGACCAACACAAAGTTTAATTTCAAAATATAATAAATAGAGAAATCTCTAAGAGGTTTCCAGAAATTTGTAGAAAGATTAACACATTCAACCAAAGATTTTGTCAATAAAGATATTCAAAGCATTTGGCATAAAAATGACTCCAATTGCAAAGCCATTACGTGGCAACTATATAGTCTTTTAAGGCACCTAAGGTGTTTGCAATGCAACACAGCTAGGCATGTCAAATGTCTTGGATGAAACGTTCTTGACTCGCATAGTATTTTATACCATCTAGCAAATTCAACGAGATAATATTGAAAACTAGGAAAAGCCATTCTCCCTAAATGATGAAACGCTCTTCAAATTCCGTTTTGACCGTGTAAAACTCAGCTAGCACCGTCGAAGTAAATAGCTAATCAATTACATCACGCAGAAATTTCAATGAATACATTCACAAGTAGCAGTTGACAAGAAAAAATCAAACAATATTAAAATTACTTGAGATAAGATGAACCCCGGATCACATGATAATTCGTGACGACGTGGCCCTGCGCATCCCATATAAACCCTGATCCTGATCCTTGGGGAACTTCCAACACATCCAATGTAAACGCGTCCTGCCTAATGCACATATACCAAACTAAAGTCAAACTAACAATCAAAAGAAATAAAAAAAAGTCATAACTCAAATTTCTTTACTTAGCAGCAAGATTAGTGATGTAGACAACTGAAGGAGTGTTCTCCTGAAAAAGACGAACTGTGGCGAGCTCATCGGTCTGCAATTTCCTCGGCGTAGTGACTACAAAGGCCGAGGCCGAATCAACATCAGCTACAAATAAGCAAGCCGACAAGGCGACTGAGGTACAGACCACAAAGAAAGAATCTAAAAGCTTCTTCAAACTGTTGGAGCCATCATCGGGAAGCTCAAAACTGAAGGATTTGTAATTATCGTCATCTCGAATCGCAGACACTATAATTGAATTTTGGCGTTTAGCGTTCAATAGCGATTTTGAGAGTGCAAAGTTGGGGACTGAATTCGCAATGGCTCTACGCGGTACAGTTGGAGTTGTTCTCGAGAAGAACGTAGAAGCCATTGCAGCCATTGTTACTGTGAGACAACTGCAAAGAAACGAAGTACCACTCTCCTATTGGTTGGTATTTGGCAAACGTGAATATGTGGATATACGTTGTTAACAGTGACGTGGAACTTTTAGCCCAGCCCACTTTTCTAAAAATTCAATTTTTTTTAAAATTACTTTTACTCCACACATTTTTCAATAAAATAATATTACACGCAAATCTAACATTTTTCTTTAACCCATATTTGAGCTCATTCTTCTAAAAATTCTTTTTCAAATACAAGTTTTTCAATAAAATAATATTACACGTAAATCTAAAAAAATTTCTTTAATTTTTAATTACTTTCTCCATCAGTCTACTATTCAAAATATATTTTTTTTTCTAAAATAGAGTTCAAACAAAAGTTTAATTTTTAACCACACATTCTCCATTAATTTACTATTCCAAAATATATTATTTCTTTTAAAATGAGACTCAAACAAGAGTTTAATCTCTATGGTCCGGCACGCACACGATTCATTGTAGCGCATAACGGTCATCTAGAGCCTATTTATTGAGTTTCGAATCACAACCGTTGATTGATTGAATGATCCAGTACAGCTCGCACTGCACGAAAATATTGTGTACAAAAGAATGCCTCACAAAATTTCTCTGAACACACATATGTGTAGGTCCCATGATATAATAAAAAAAATGCCAAAAAATCACCCACCCTATCCATTATGAGTATTATATGGCATTTCTATGAACTAAATTTTTGTACACATAACATTGTTGCGCACTGCAAGTGTCGTTCATTCTTCCACCAATCACAGAAAAATTAAGATTCCAAAGCCAACTATCCATAATTTTTATACTGTTCATTACTTGATTTTTATAATTCAGTTATAATGATTCCCATATAAATTATAAACCAAATACTTAATTTATTTATCTACTCCTTCTACAGATATATGCTGACCCGCTTAACTTTGCCTGCTTTCTTGTCTCAACAATAAGATAAGAAATGAATTCAGTCCCTAAGCTGCCTAATTCCTCATCCTCCATAAAGTCAAGGGCCTATTCTCTCCTTCACCTTTGTGCCGATGGTTCTTCCATTCAGTGTCATCAATGTAATAATAGGAGTCACATAGCAGCTCATCCTCAACAAAAAATGACTCTAAGGGCTTGTTTGATACAAGGAATTTTTCATGGAAAATGGTTCCATTTTCCACATTTTTCCTTGTTTGATTGCACGAATTTTCCCTAGAATTGATTTTCCTCCCCCCCCCAATGGAAACAAATTATATCCCTTTAATTGACAATTTAAATGAATACCAAAAGATCCAAAATTTCAACATTTTTCAGGTAAAAAATTATACCAATGAAACACATTTAATTGACAATTCTCAACGAAAACAAGTTCTAGGGAATTTAATTCCTTAAAATTCGTTTTCTTTCCACTCAAATTATATTTTTGCAGTCAAACAGACCCTTAATTATAAATGGTGATTAACCATATGTACGAGAGAGACTCATCTACTAATCACGAGTAAGCACGGCATGGCACAACGATATTTAAATTAAATTTGAATTTTAAGGATGAATTGATGTTCAATGTCACCGATTTTAATATAAGTTAAGCATCGATACTTAGTAGATCATTTTTCCATCAAACAAAAGCAAAATTGCCAAAAGGTTTCAAAATTTTGGCCAAGGGTCTCAATTCCCTGGGCATGCCATCAAAATTTCCAGAATTTACATCAAATGGGAGCACTCGTCTTTTCTTAATTTTCCAGCATATGCCCTCAGCTAGATGCTCCTTGTTTGGGGTCAACATAACGAAATTTGGGTCTGTCCTTTGATAACTACAATCAGGGAAGCGATGATATCAAATTTCCATGGATGTAGAATGGCAATACAAAGGTGGAGCCTCCGTGGGCTTATAAAATCGTATCGAGAAGGCATACAGGGAAATGTATCCAACCTTACTTCCCTAATGTTATCGACACGAACACCAAATCCAAATGATGTCCCTCGTTTTGTCCGATCTCTGACAGTTGTAAGCCAGTGAAATTAATGGTTGAAGAATGAGATAAATTATATAAACAGAGAATGAGGGGCAAAGAATGATAGAGAAACAACAAAACGGGAATCAATATCTTCATCCTCAATTCTACATTGTTATGACATGTTTCATAAGGTGGATCGAATAAAATTAAAAAAAAAAAAAATCAACAATATTAAAGGAGCGTTTGTTTTCCATTTTTGTAAAAATGAGAATGAAAAATATAGCCGTTATAGGCCCCACACAAGAGATCAAAATTCAAATTTGATGGTTTGATGTGATGGATAACGGTCATATTTTTCATTTTAATATAGAAACAATGAAAAACAAATAGGGGCTAAATAAGAAAAATAAACTAAATCTAGTATATTGTATTGTCCAATCCTTTCTACTAATGCATATAACACATGCTCTCAAGGTCTCGAACAACACTGTCTGTCCTAAAAATTATTCTACTTCAACGATGAAAAAAACGAAAGCAGTGATAGCATAACTTGTTCAGAGATATAGACAAATGTGCAAGTTTACTACTAATGAGCAATATTTGAAGATTAAACAACAAGCTATTATAAAATGCTCGATATTATACAGCGAATTTTGAGGCATAGAATTTTGTAGCTAAATCTCTTAAGAACGAGGGGACACACATATCAGATACCTGACATGCTGAAAATGAAAGAAGGTTTCCACCATGATTTAAATGCTAAAGCTATTGATGAATTTCCCTGCAAAATTGACACATTGATGTCTTAAACTTAATTGCTTCACAAATAATACTATCACAAACTAAATGATTAGAAACATTATCAAAATTGTGTTACCTTCAGTAAGAAGTTTTTATTGGCTTGCCAAGATGCAGCCACTTGAAAAGTGGACTCTTGAATATTATTTAATGACTTTTCATCGTCAATACTTCACGAAAAGTATAAAATGAAGTCGGATTCCACCACTTTATATGATATCAATGTATGCGATATTTAACATATGAAAATACCTTGTCTGTAACTCAAAGCCAAAGTCAATGTAATTAGTGATTCCAACCATTTCATTTTCTTCAAGTGGACTTTTCACCTAGGTCCACAGAAGTTAATATTTGTCAGTAATGTTGATTTTAGTACAATCTTTCCCCATTATATCAGTTTTTCAAACAACCATATGTCCCTATCTTCAATATATATTCTTTTGTGCATTCTTGTATGCATATTTATACCGTAGATGGGAATGCATGTAGGCTCATGCACACTAGAGAGAGAGAGAGAAAGAGATACTCATCTCTGAACCACGATGTGTTGATAGAAAGAAGCAATGAACTGCAATGAAATAATAATGAGACATTGTAAGTTGACCCCATATTGATAAATAAATTATGCCCACGTTTGGTGGGGATTAAAATGAAATAGTAATGAGACATTGTAAGTTGATCCCATATTGATAAATAAATTATGCCCACGTTTGGTGGGGATTAAAATTAGTTTTTTAGTAGATTTTGATAAAAATTGTTGAAATGTATGGTTGTAAAGTTGTGGATCCCATAAAGGTGCAGTTAAAATTAGTTATTGACTTTGACTTAAATTAAAATCTTTATTTTAATTTGCACCAAATAGGAACTATAATTCACTAGTACAAAGACTTCTAGAAGAACTTAAGTTGTAGAAGTAATGGTGCGGGAAATATGTAACATGATCCTAAGTAAACTAGTCTCAAAGTGTTAATGAGATTGAAGATTGTGGAGATTGAATAAGATTATGGAAATAGTCGAAGATTATGACAAATAGATAGATTATTTTTACCATATTTAGTTATGATTTGGTTCTATACAATGAGAACATTTCACATTGTGAGGCATCAAGTCTTATTGAATATCATACTTGACATGGTATTAGAGCCTCTTTCTTAGAATTTTTTCTCGTTTTCTTGGTTCGGTTTTCTCACAGCAAGATGAGGTTTTGCTCCTTCCGCTTGGTCTTCGTCGAATTGAGTTAATGGTTTCTTTTTCTTGTTCACGTTTCAACATATTGAGACTTTCAACCTCCATTATTGTAAATCGTTCAGAAAAGCAAAATCGTCCTCTTTCACTCCCATTTATCAAAATTGAAATAGACGGAGAGAAGAGAAAGAGTACTCTTTAGTTCTCCAATGGCGCATTTTCTTTAAACCCTAAAGCCCTAAATTACTCTGCGATCAATAGACTGATATAGATAAAATAACATAACAAGCAGATGAAGATGTCGGCACGGTCGGTGTCGGTAAAGGCGATATCTCTATCGAAGCTGCTAAGCTCTTCAACTAATTTACCGCAGCAACGGCTCTCTTGGCGCCATTCCCTTGAATCTACTATGCACTTCTGATGCCTTCAATCACTTGGTCTAGTTTCAAAGCAAGCATAGATAAATGAATCTCAAAATTACCCTAATATGAAAAGGGTTCAAAAATTGCAAAGAAATAGAGAGAAGGGACAAAGAAATAGAGAGAAGGGAAATTCTCAAGATACTGCCAAGCCGAGCCTGGATGGAGGCAATGCCAGAGACAAAGAGATTAGGTTGCCGATTGGATGAGGCATTGTTGGCGTGGAGAAAAACCCATAGCGACAATGGTTTAGCGTTTGGGAGATGGAGATGATGTAATTTATGTCGAGTTTGTAGTTATGTGTAGGTTCATGGTTTTAGTACTATTGGATTTGGTGTTTGGGCCTTATTATGGTTCAATTTGGTATATTAGACTGTTGCTGGAGATTTTAACTTTCAGATTTAGTATTTGGGCCTGGTAATGGGTTGATTTGGTATATTCGGCTGTTGTTGGAGGTCTTAATGAATAGTAGAAGAAGGATGGACTGTAGCATGTGTGTGAGGTTATTTTTGGGGTTTGCCCATTGGAGTTGGACCTTTGAGTTCTTTTTTACATCAGTTTCATGTAAACAAATTGATGCTAAATGATGAGCTAAAGATTTAGATTCTCATGAGAGGTCAACCTTGAGTGGTTTTGGATTCCTAGTGGAGGGATGATCTTTGAGTTTTTGGTGTAGGTTGTTCGGTTGGATTTCTTCCAACTGCAGCATCTTGGTCAGCAATATATTGCTGAACTTTTCATCGGTGAATTGATCGTTAGAGCTTTCGTTGGAATGCAAATTCTATGTTCGACTGATAGAGCTCATTGTGTGAGGTCGGTACACTTTGTGAATTTATTTTGAAAATTCTTCTTGGGATATGAGCTCTTTGAAGTGTTCTTGGAGTGGTTCTTGGTTGTTTCTGCTGTGATTTGGGTCTCTTCTTCATGGGCACGAGTATTGTCATTGTCGTTCGTTCATGATTGTAAATTGATACTTTTACCAACATTAATTTGAGAGGCATGTTAATGTGATTGAATAAGATTACTTAAATTGAATAAGATTATGGAGATCATCGAATATTAAAATTTTATTATTATTATTATTATTATTATTATTATTATTATTATTATTATTATTATAATTGTACCACATACAGATAGATTGCTTTTATCATATTTAGTTATGATTTTGGTTCTATACAATGAAAGAACCTCTCATATTGGGGGCATCAAATCTTATTAAGTATTATACTTGACATTTCAACATCTATAATTCGGTTATGTCACTAAGTTCACATGTAGCTATGAAAAATGAAAGCCATGTTGCTAACATTATATGCCAATATACTCATTCTTGCAGAATCAACTATGATGCAGAGACGTCTTTATAATGGGAAAATGGAAATGAAGCATGATTCGCTAATTAGATATCTCAATTGCTTAGTTTCTGCTACATTCTGTTGCTAAATTTATGATGGCGTCCAGAGTATTCAGGTTACCGAAATAGATTTAGGATAGCAAGGAAGCCTAACAAAACAACTTGTTTCCTAACATCTTCCACAATAGGATTAACTGCAAGCTAAACAAGAAACAGAAAAAATAAAATCTTTAATTTTCTTCCTTCTGAGGTTCTTTGAAAAGCAAATTCAGCCTAAAAGGAAAAAAGTAGATGTCAATTTAGTGAAGAAAACTTATTAACAACACAATTATGCGAAAGGAAAAGATGAAATTAATCAAAGGACGGGCCTAAAAATAGCAAAACGCAACTAACCTGTGAATTTTTAGCGAGTTCTAGTCCAAAATTGAAGGATGGGCTCAAAGGACTCCCAGATCCTAATCCATAACCAATAGCACAGCTCCAATTTTCCAAGTTTTTGTATTTTGTTCCACCTTTGCTTCCAACTACATACATCATCACAAGTACACCTTTAACCTTCCTCCATGAAATGCTGAAGAACATAGAAGGCCTATGCTAACTATTCTGTTTTTCTCATTTTTTCCCTTTTCTTTAATTTTTTTGTTCAATAAGAATATAAACTTGAAAAGACTTATTTATTAAACGATGAAAAATTGCGCCAAACACAAACCCCATCTCTGCCACCCATCCCTGAAAGCGTTGACGCATATATAAAACACATTTAAAGTATCCAAGAAGACAAGGCATATGATGAACATCAAAGTAGTATGGTAAGGTACAATTGAAGAAAATAAAACTATTAGAATTAATATATTATTTTCCTAAACAAATAGTAGAATTTACTGTTCGTGATAGTGAAATCTAAAAGGTTAAAATAAGTGTTTAACAGAACATGAAGGAGTAATTGTAACTTAAAGAAACACGTTTACCTCATCAACTTGCGAGTATAATACCTAAAACGCACAAAGCATAGAGGATGAAAAAGAACAATAAATATTTTGTTTCTAAAAAACTTACATGTTGGTTCATATTGCACCCCAGTAGCAAGCCTTCCCATCTTACTTGCTAACCAAGCACTTTTTGAAAGTTCATCACCAACTATGTATGGAAGAAAAGTTAATATATTTCTACATGTGTTTGTGAATGTAGTCCATGTATATGCTTACTCATCATAAAAACAGTTTTTATGCTCAGGTTGATTAGCTATTCACTGAACAAAGGAAATAGCCTGGAAATTTCCAAAATATAGGATTAAGTGAATAGGTACACTTGCTATGGTTGAGATAGCACGGAGAAATGCAACTCATATTTTCAGCATATGAAAATCATCATTCCCCAGGTTTGGTCAAACGGGAAAATTAAATTAATGTAGCAGTCAAATACTGAAGAAAGGAATAACTGTAGCTCTAATAGACAGATTTGAAAAGCCATATTTCAAACCCATAACACCATAATCTTCAGAAGATACTCTACAAGAGTGAAAACAATCTAAACATAAAAGATACTCAAAGAAGCATACACTAACTTGTTCATGAGTGTGTAAGATTCGAATTAGAATGAAAACTACCTTTGCTTCAAAAGCACTCGGAATATGCCAAATGCTCCAAAACCAAATTTCTGGTAGTATGCGCGAGACCTCATCAGTAAATTCCTAGATGGGCATGTACGATGAAGATAAAATTATTTTTTGTTACATTATCTGCATTAAGGGAATATGACACAACATGGGTTCTTACGGCTCAGTGTTGGATAGGAAGAGGTTGACAAACGTGTGAGGATCATCAACATAACTACAAAGAAACAACATATCTTCAATTAAAAAAAAACAATCAAAGACAATGTATTTAATGATTAGAAATAGACAAAAATACCTTTACCAGCAGAATTGTGCATTTCCAACAATTTTCTCTTTGGGCTTGTGAACAAGTGGACCAGCAACCTATATAGGCTAAGAAACAAACTTATATCTTGTCAACTAGCTAAAAAATTTTGAAAAAAGTAATAGATTTGGGGGACAAGGGGTAAGAAATAAATAAAAAATACTTTAGCTTCTCCAAACTTTCATAGAACAAGGGAAGTAAAGTCTTGTAAGCAATTGAAGGTGAATCATAAGCTTTGTTCTTATGGGAATGGTAGAAAACTCAAAATTTAGTGGTCAAAGAGTTTTAGAAAATGTTCTTGGTGGAAAACATGGAAAAAGAATATTTTCGACTTATTAATGACACTCGCAACATAAAGAAGCCTCCAACTGTAGCACTTCCCTCAGTGAAGAAATTTGATGACCGACCTAAAGATCCCAGTGCTTTAGTAAAGATATCATTGAGTTAATTCTCTTTGACCTTTTCAGTTTGATAATTCTCCTACGATTTCTAAGCAATCTTATAAATTATCTGCGTAACTGCTATGCGCCTGTGCTGCTATGCTCTGTGAAATATTTACAGATTTACTTGATTGTATCCTGAAAATCTATTCCACTTATGATTACGACTCACCAAATTAATACTTATCTAATCCGCTATAACAAATATACTGCAAAAGTTCAGGCAATGTATTTTGTACAAAGACACTATAACTTTTCCCTTTTTTCAATGTATCAGCCCAGTGTAAAAATAAAAATAAAATTGTCACCTCAACTCCGTCCCTGTACCAGAATGCTTATTGACTAACCGGAACTATTGTATAACTAAAAAGTAATAATCAAATATTAACCAGTTCAGAAATCAATAGTATAAAGAGCAAGCACTGATAGGGAGGGGATAAAGTAGCAATCAAATCCACATGAGGATCATCAATTGGCTTTAGCGTAATCCTAGTGCTAAAATGCTTCGCTTCGTTAAAGTAATCCTCGAAAAGCATCTCAAAGCCAATTTCCCAAACAAGTTGTACAAAGATTCCAGCATCCTGCATTGCCATTTTGCATACGCAATTTTTAACCTCGCTATCTTTCTTTAAAAAAAAAAAAAAAAAGAATTTGCAATTCTTAAATTGGTAAAACTTGGTACGTGCAAAGAGGGGACGGAAATCGAAGAGCAGCAGAACCAAAACCATTAGCGGCGGCGATTCTTTGGTTGTCGCCCACAAGTTTCCCATCCCAAATTCTATGTACTTCAGAATTGAGTATAATTAGAGAAAATTGATAGAGTTTTATGGGCATGGAGAAAGATGAGGATTTTTTAGCGAATTTCTCTGAACTCTCACCCTTCATCCTTCTCTTGACCACTTCAATGTTCTGAATAAACTAGTGACGTGGCGTCAGATGAAAGCCATACCTCGAGTCTCTATCATTTTCATACGTGAAATGTCGACCCGCACTCAACTCTGGGCAAAGAGTACCAACATGGGCTTGGCTTCCAAACCAGTTGTGGCCCGGCCTGTTAAATTATGGACCTGAAGTCAATTATATTGGGCTTCCACTTCCAGGCATGACGGTTGGTCCATTGAACGGTGGAATGCCAAATTATTACTTGTGGAAATTATAGAAAACAAGATATTTAAAAATTCAATTTCATAAATCATAGATTAGGTTTACTATTCGAAAAATCAAATATATTATATTTTAAATATTAATAATTATAATAGAAAATTAAGTATACATATTTATCATACCCAACCAAGCATACAAAACCTCTAATCATTTTCATTCTCTCTTTCTCTATCCCAACTTTTCTCATTTCTCTAGTCGCCGCCTTGCTAGCGCCACCACCTCTGTTGCCACATTGAGCGGAGATGTCACTCGACATCGTTGCGGCAGCATTGTTGCCGCGCCACAGTTGCACGATCATCACGCAACCACCATCGGAAACTACGTCAACAACGCGATCGCAACACTATGCCAGCAACATGATAGCAACAGGATCCAGTCCATTTGTTGATCCCTTTTCAATACCCTGCTCGCTATACTAAAACACACAAAAAAACATAGATAAAGCAAGTAGCGATGGCGGCATCATTCTTGTGTTTGAAGATGTGAGAGCATCAGCATGACGATGCAGTAGCTTGGGTTGGTTTCATACCGCCATGGTTTTCGACAGCTGCAACGTCATCTCTGACTTTGATTAGGTCTACTTTGCGATGGTTTTGTTGAATCCACTTGGGGTGTGGTGGTAATGTTGATATTGCTTGTGGTAGTGGTAGTGGTAGTGGTAGTGGTGGCTGGTGCTACTCATGGTGTTGCTGTTGTAGTTGTGGTGGCAACGACGGTGCATCTAGCCACGGCAGTGGTTGTGATAGTGGGTGTTGCTATTAAAAAGTGGTGGTCGTTCTGGGAAAAACGGTGGTAGTGATGCTATTAGAGGCAATGGTGAAATAGTGGTTGCAAGTGTTGGTCACAAATTATTTGGTCAATTGTGATCACTAAATTGATTAATTTGTGACCAATAAACAATATATGATCAATGAAAAAGATAAATTGTGTCCAATAAATAATGTGTGACCTAAAAAATTGTTAATTTGTGATCGATAATTTAATAATTTTTTATTATATAATAAGTTGTCACTTGTAATATTCGTGATTTGTGGTCGATAAATAAATTGTGACTTATAAATTTTTGATTTGTGATCGATGAACAAATTGTGACATATAAAATTTTAAAAATGTGATAGTAAAATAATTTGTGACGTATAAAAATTCTAATTCTTGATCGAAAAGTAATATGTGACTTACTAAATCGTGAATTTGTG